ATATTCTACCGAAAACCTTGAGAATTCATTGCAAACATTTCAAGTAAATCACTTGATTTACCACATTGATTATAACATATTTAGATGAATATTTTATAATTATTATAAAATATATGGTACACCCTCAAAATATCCCATGCATCAAAATATCCCTCGTTCAAAATATCCCCCGTTAAAAATATCCCCGTTACAAATATCCCCCGTTAAAAATATCCCCGTTACAAATATCCTACGTTGAAAATATCCCCGTTACAAATATCCCAATTAAAGATATCCTATATTCAAAATATATCCAATTATTATCCCTTAATTTATAACAATATACATAAAAAAAGATTTTTAAACTTTAAACTTTTTTAAACTTCTCATCAATTAGGTTATAGTTATATTAACATACATATTATTTGTAAATCATAGTGTATAATGAATATAAGTAGAATTCAATATAATAGTCCATCCAAACATCTGATTCACTTAAAAAATCTAAATTGTTTTCTGTAGTAAATATTAAACTACGTTTTCCTTCCTTGTTAATATCGTGTAACAAAAATGGAACTCCCGTTTTGGTTACCTTATATTGGTCTGGTAATATTAAATCAGTTATGTTGATTGGATATGTAGGGTAATCATTATATTTATTTATTGTTCTATACGTACAGTCTGAGATAACATATCAATTGGTGGTAATTTACTGACAGTTATTTTAGATACATCTGAAACTATTTTACTGACTACATTTCTTGTAGGTTCACATGACGTTTTAGCTTCATTTTTTAATTTATCAATTGCTTCTTTAACATTAACTTTAACAGCATTTGGAGGGTGTCTATGTGTGGGTATTTTTATAATTTCTCCTAAAAAAAATAAAAAAAAATTTAATTGACTGAAAAAAACAAATGTATTATTGACACCAAAAGTATTAATCTGTTTTGACGTACCTGATTCTTCGYCATTAGTTGTATGACAGCGTCCTTTGCATATGTAGTTTATAAGTTCAACACAGCGCCAAATACATTTATTTTCAGTCGATTGGTGTAAGTTATGCAAATATCCGTCGTATGGAAGTAGCTTTTTGCCTTTTTGGCTATTTAAAAAAATTAAATTCGACATTTTTCGTTTTCGTTTTCACGGACATGAAATGGTAACCACGTTCACAAGTATAATGCCGATACCTTATCGAAAATTTCGATGGTCTGTATTTATCAACTTATTTTATCATTTTTATTATTTCAACAAAATACAGGTATTCCTATTACAAGTTYTAATAGTATCTGATTACGCGTCGTATTTTGTCAATATTTGAACTTCAAACACAAATAAATTTCACGTATTTATTTTAATAATTTTTGAATGACTTTACCTAAGAMAAAYTTATGCAGATTCATACAGAATCTCCAGAATCTGAATGAAAATTTAACAAAGCAAAAAAAAAAAACGTATCAATAAAATAAATTACCTATTTCGAATCCCTAGCTTAAAAATGAGCTTTACAT